GTAAGAATTTGTTTCATAATTTAAACTATTAAATTGATGAATCTTTATTTGAAAAATATAGTAAGTATATATAATTTGTTGTTTGTTATTGATTTATACGTATATCTATTTAATATATGAATTTTTGACTTCTTTCTTTTAAATTAATTTACGAGTATAGAATCGAAACAATACATTAAAGTGTCAATGTAAATTGTATTGATGATGATTTTATTATTAATAAAAAACTCAATGAGTCAATTTCAGTTAATAACGAAGATACTAATGTTGAGAAAGAAAGCAAAAAAACATAAATTTATATATCTGAAGTTGCTATATAATTAAAAAAATTAAAAAAATATGGATTAGTGAGTCAACCCACTTAACCCACCAACCTTGTGATGAGTTGAGTCAGGTTGTAAAATTTCTAACTCCCAAAAAATAAGTCGGGTTAAACTCATCTATTTTCAACTCAACCTAAAACGAACCTGGTTGGCTCACTTTTACACCAATAAATAAATGATTTACGTCTGTTTATTTTTTTATATTTTCTATTATTTACATTCGAAAAATGAAAGTAATGTATCAGATCAAACATACACAAAATTTAGAAAATAAATAAATAAAAATCCAAGCAATAAAGCAAGCAAAATTTTCAATATGTAGATATTAAAGTATCCAACAAAATGCAAATATTAATTTTATGCTACAAAATAAATAAAATAATAATAATAATAATAATCATAATAATAATAATAATAAAGCCGATCTTAGGGTTGGAATGTTTGAAAGAGACTTGCAGGGTTTACCTGCTGCTTTGTAGCCTCTGGTTTTGGCATCTTGGAAATGTACTTACATTACTTTCACCTCCTTCCGCACGTGAACTTGTCCCACCATTATCAAAAACTCAAAATTAGTAGCAAAAACAAGTTTTTCAGATCAGATTTGTCACCATTAATTATGAAGATTAAATTCCTTCGAGACTAATAATTCTCTTATAGTTTATTTTTCTTTTGAAATACAAGAATAATGAGTATTTTCAATGACTTTAATTTTTTTAGTTATATTTGGTTAAATTTGTATTAATTTTCAAGTGTTCTTTGCATAACTCGAAACTTTTATCGTGACGTAAATATATGTTCATAATTTTGTCCATTATATTCATTTTAAAGTTTTTTTTTCTAACGGTTCAGATGTGGAATATATAATTGATTGAGAGATTTATGTCAATAAACTTTATAAGAATAAAACCCAAACAATCCAACGTTAATAATAACATTTATTAAAAATTTTATATAATTTTTCATGGATATGTTTAAAAAATAGTTTCATCACAAGTAAAAAAATGTATTTTATATTTATACAGATAAAAATATATTACTGTGTTTTTTTTTCATATATACTTTATTCCTTGAGTTATTTCGTTTCATGGAAAATAAAAAAGAAACTTAGAAACAAGAGAAAAACTTAATATGTTAAAAATAAGAAAAGTACAACATAATATAAAAACGAAGTAACTAGGTTTGAGTTCTTCCAAAAATTACAAACATCACTCTAATACCTATATTTAATAATTTAAGTTTGGGCTATTTGATATTGGATAATATTTACCTATATGGTGGACCGTTGTTTGGTGAGAGTTTTAATTTAATATGATTAATTTATTTTGTGATAATAAATAAAAAAACGAGGAGCTATCAAGGCATATAGATTCCTTTTTTTGTGTCTCTTATCCAATGTTTTCAATTGTGAACTAAGATATGATCTTGTCACCCCTAAAATTTCTACTCTCGTTGGATTTGATGCAAAATAAAATAGTGAATCAATAGATAAGCATATATGGTTAAGTTGTATTTGTTGAATTAGTGAATCTCTTAATCAACTTGTGATATCGTCATCCTACATCATTTCGACCACAATTTGTAAAGGCATACACTTTAAGTTTTATGCTTCCCAAATATTTTAATATTCGTCATAAAACAAAAATCTCCGCACTTACTTTCCATAACGGGAAGATAATGAAAGTGCTTTATTTATAAGTATATGTTGGGAGAATGTGAATCGAAATTTCAAAAGTATTTTTAAAATCAAATTTTTAACACCATTTAGATGCTAATACTTTTACACAATTAAAAAATCTGTCGTGAAATTAATTTCTTAAAGGTTAAATAATTGAATCCTTAATTTATATTTTTTATTTTCCAACTTATAGCAATGTCTTAGACGAGGTTGAGGAAGAACTAAGACAATTGATGATACACATGTCAAGGTGCCTTGGTTCTTTCGTTTTCCCTTTTAGGTCTTTTCATTCCAATTTGTTTACTTAAAAAAAAAACAATAAAAATTCGAGAGTGCAATTCTTCCAACGAATGAGTATAATACTTTTATGAACAACCAAGTAAAGATTCCTCTAGTTTATTTACGAAATAAACGAACAAAGGAACCTAAGATTCGTTTGAATTAGTTAATACGGGAATTTGAATTTGAATTCAATTTTATAGGATGCTTAGTTTTAAGGTAAGCTAACTTAAATGAGTAAGATACTACTAAGGTTGATTATTCATTAATTTTTCTATTTATTCAAAATTTTATCATTGTTTTAAACTTCAATTCATTTTTTAAGGTGGTAGTTAATTTATTTACCAAAATTAGTGCATTTATTAGAGATTTGATTAGTGGTCGTGAAAGTTTGACTTCTTTACTCTTCCGTCTTGGTCAATTATAATATATATGTATTTTTTAAGTTATTGATTCAAATAATACATGTATATTATAATTTAAGTTATTGATTCAAATAATACATATATATTATACATTTTTTTATTAAACTTTTATATTATAAACTCAGGCATTTATTGTTCATAACGACATTTTATGATTTTTTTTGGGATATATAATTTGGCGATGATTTAATATAAATTGTTATATATTTAAAACACATTCAATTGTTATTATTTAAAAAAAATTACATTAACTTTTTAAAATTTCTTTAATTTCATTTTTATTTTTTTAAATTATATATTAATTTTTATTTCACATTTTTTAATTATTTACTTATTTATGTTTTGTTAATGAGAGTTTTCCTCTTCATCACAATAACAAACATTTATATAAATTACCTTTCTTCACGATTCTAAATGACATGAGATTAAAAAGCTCATTTTAATATAGAATTTAGTATTCAAACACATAATTTTTATCGATTATGAAAAAGAAAAACCTTTGACTTATTTTATTTAATCTCATTATTAGTAAAAATTAATTACATTTTTTATTAAAAAAACAATGTTATAACAAATTTATACTTAATTAGAAATAACATGGTTAACAAACAAATATTAATAATTTTAATTTATGTATGATATAATTTATGATATGTGAATAATAGAAATTTAAAAAATTAACAAATTAATTTCATTATTCTACATCATTACAATTTTTTTAAAAACAAGGGACTCGATTGATCCTTAATTGTTGCATTTTAAAATTGAAGCGCTTGATAAACTTTTTACAATATAGGTGAGTCAATTAAGTTTTTTAAAGAATAAAATTTTATTGACCAAAACTAGAATTAGCCCCAAATTTAATGATTACAAACCTAATTAAACCTTAATATCTATTGATATCCCTCATACACCTACAATTTCAGCCATTTTGACCAAAATGCTAAACCTAGGTCAATCCCCTGCGTGCCTTGCTAAATCGGTAAAATCAATCTGGCCACATATTTTTGTATAGGTTAGGGTGAGTTGGGCACAAAGATTTCTCATTGCAAGAATAGTAATTAAATAAATATGTTAAAAACTTAATATTTCATATATGATTTAGATATAATAAAATCCTATTGTTCCCATGAATTCTACTTTTACAAAGGTGTTACATATAAAGCATGCATCTTATTTCTTATGTAAGATGTCCATAAGAGTAGGAACAATATTTAATCCTCCTTCATTATCTTTTGTAAGGATATTATACTAAATTGTATGTGGGAGAATATAAATAAAAAAAAATGAAATTTGTTTTGGCCAGTTGTACACTAGACAGGAGCAATTATTACTAAAAGTTGACCCACAGTATTAGATATTCATTGTGTTTACTTTTAACATAAGCTCTATTATTTCTTCTTTCATTTATAGGTGTCCTTTAGTCCTTATTGTACAAACAATAGATAAAAGCATAACAAAAAATGTGAGAACTAATTTTATTTGAAAGAGAAAAAAATAGACAAGTATAGGAAAATGAAAAGTTTTATAAAGATGGATTATAAAGGGAGGGAACAAATAGCATTTTGAGGTTTGAAAATGAGAGGGAGGAGAAAATATTGATTGAGTACTAATTGTTACTGGATGTAAATATGCACTTAGACATATTTAATTTTGAAAGCATAGGACAGGTGATGACAAGTGACCATTCATACACAAAAGAAGGGGAGGGGGTGAGGTCTAGAGACTAGTATGTAATATTGGTTGGCCTATGGACAACACAACCCAACCCAAACCATGTTTCTATCATTTCGGAACTGTCCTAACCCCCCCCACGCACCTCATAATTTTAAATTATTATTATTATTCTCTACCATAAAAAGAAAAAAAAAACTCAAAGCAAATCAAGATAAAAAAAAGAAGAAACCACTTGACCTTTGATTTTAATTATCCTTCATCCTTCAAATCCAAAGTCCAAACTCCTAATTTCAACCCTCGTTTTCTGTTATGACGTGTCTCCTCTGAAAATATAAGTTTAGTTAAATTGTTATTATTATATAATTAGATATTTTTCAATGTCCTAGTTCATCATCTTTGATACATGATGTGAGTGAGTGAGTGCGGCGAGTGGTTTATTTTTGCGAAATAAAATAATAATAATAAAAAAAGAAAATGTAAAATGTATTATTTTTGCGTTCCTTATTTCCTTCTCCTTGAAGACTAGCTGTCTCTGGCACTGGCAGCAGAAGCAGAAAAGTTCCAGAAATTCTGGTAAGGAACGAAGCAAAGCAACGCAGCGTTTCGTTTCGTGTCGCCGTCATGGATGAAATGTACGGAGTGCCGGAGTACGCCGACAAGCCACTCATGACTCCGGAGAGTCTGATTTTCCCCCCGGACTACCCCGCCTTCCTCGCCGCTGCTCGGATTCCCATCTTCGGATCCGACGACATCTTCTCGTCCGAGACCTCCGCCGTCGCCGCTGCTCCAGCCGGAATTCCCCGCCACCAGGACGATGACGTCGCAACCACCGTTATGAAGGCCAAAATCGCCTCCCACCCTCACTACCCTCGCCTCCTCCAAGCTTACATCGATTGCCAGAAGGTGAGAAAAGAAAACCAAGTCGCTACAATAGTAAACGTTTCTCGGAGAAAGGAAAAACGGTTATAACAAACTCAACAACTACTTTTTGCCAACGGCTGATACTACTGCTGCTGCAGGTTGGGGCGCCTCCGGAAATCGCGCGTTTGTTGGAGGAAATCCGGCGAGAAAACGACCTGTGCAAGAGCGACGTTGTTTCCACGTGCTTTGGAGCCGATCCCGAGCTCGACGAGTTCATGGTCCCCCCTTCTTTCTCACTGCGCACGCACGCACGCACGCACGAGTACACTTATAATTATTTATTACAACTTTTCTTACAGATTGTGATCGTGTCTCCGATTATGCGATTTTCGTTTTCAGGAAACCTACTGCGACATGCTCGTGAAGTATAAATCCGACTTGGCTCGCCCTTTCGACGAAGCAACCACTTTCCTCAACAAGATCGAAATGCAGCTCAGCCATCTCTGCACTGGCGCTTCCGTTTCCACAGTTTCTGGTTTGTTCTTCGTCCTCTCTCTCCAGTATCTAACTAGCTGTAGCTCTCGCTTACTGCTAGTGCTAGTATGATTTTGGAACTCGACGTTCGTTTTTGATATTTGCGCTACTCTTTTTTATGGAGAAACAATACGAAGAACTAGTTTCAATAATCGTTGTGGCGCTGTTGTAGTAATAGCACTATTAGCTGGCACATCTATAGCGCAGGATCAGCTGACAAGAAAGTATTTCAGCCTAACAGTGATCTTAAATTTGAGTTTAGGTATACGCTTTTCGAGTTACGGGTCGTAAGTTGTAATAGTACACTTAGCTGGCACATTGATGGCGGATGACGCATGTATCAACGGATAAGAGGTTGTTTTAGTTTAACTAAATGGTGTTATTTTTGAACACTGGGTATAAGATTACCTAGTGTGAAGAATAATACATAAATGTCCTTAGTTGGCTTGAAGTAGCCACATGGAGCAATGGGCATTGTTTATGTTTGGTTGCTTTGTTTGATCTGCCAGATCCTTATCCTCTTGGTTGGTTAACCATTGGTTGAGAACATGAATAAACCTCACAGAATGGTCTTTCTAGTTAGCAGCAAATATGTGTTTGCAAGAATGAGATTGGGACATGACCTACAGCTTTTTTTTCGAAGTGAACAAGGAAAAGAGTGTACTAAAGAAAAGGAAAGGGAAACCCTAACACTTCTCTCTCTTTCTCTGGATTGGTGTTTATGCATGACTGTGCTGAATCTCGCTGCTCGCTGTTAATGTATGTAACTTTCTTTGTGTGCTTTCACTGTTAGACTGTGATCCATGCTTCTTTCGTCATAGGAGGAAACAAAAGTTTGGTTGTTTGGTCATTTCGGGGTAGTAATGCTGTTGAGCCTTTCACCTTTTTCAGTTCCTTCTTTATACTGGTCTTCGAGTAATTGCTAGTTCCATGGACTTGTGTGGTTTGTTTTGTTTGGCCTTGGAGTTGTTCTCTCCGCACGCTCTTCTTATTTTTTAATCCCATTTTTCTTTTATGCTTTCCCTGCTCATGAATATCAAGTTTCACGAGCAACGGTCTACTTCATTTGGCTCTCGAATTTTTACATTGAAGATGTTCTTAATGACATCTTAAATAGTGGCCTCGATATAAGATACTGACGAAACAATAGGAATTGTTTTTCAAACACCCAGAAGTGGTTTTTCGTGCTACGCCTTCCAGCTCATCAATATGTATAGGCATATTAGCGCATGCCTATTTTGAACAAGTTTCTGTTGAAAAATTTTAGAGGGAAATTCATACGAGTAATGCTATGCCGTGGATGCTAAACAAGTTATCAATTGTATTGGTGATATGCACGCAGTTGATTAAATGATGCGCTATATATATTTTGGTTCTCTAATTGTTAGAGAACAATTCTTCAGTAATAATAGGTTTGTTTTCTTTTGCTTCCTTTTAGCAGTCAAAAGAAACAAATGCTGGTAGTGAATATTTTGAAGAACGTGGTTTTGCTTGCTTTGCCACCTGAATTTTATTTCTTAAGTTTTTTGTTGTTGGCAGATGTCAAATTCAAATTCTTATCTGATTATAATGTGTCAAACTTTTGATTTAAATTAAAGTCTAAGAAGGTAGACGCCCAGGCTTAAATTATTTTGTCGCTGTGGAAGAATGTAGTTGAAATGCTATCTAAGATTTGTAGTAGTATAAACTAGAAGATTATAGTATATAACATGGGTGACTCGTATGTGTTTAGATTATATTTATCGCTGTATAAGAATGTAGTTGAAATGCTATCTAAAATTTATGGCAGTGGATGGTAGACAATGTTACATATATATATAATTCATCAATGTGAACAACGCTTTCCCATATACTAGTAATATCTTAATGCTTCTAAGCTTTATTAGTAGTGATGGACTACCTTCTTCCTTTCAGCACACATAATGAAACTTGTATGTTGAAGACTTATTATGAGAATAACGTAATTTAAAATTTAAATATTATAACCTTCTAGGAGTAATGCACTAGTACGCATTTTGGATTAGATGGACGCAACATGATCTGACAGTAATGGCATGCAATGATTCTGCTTTCATACTTTATTAATTTATGTATCGAGTTCCAATAGAGCACAGGTGATGCATGTTGCTGGGAGATAAAAAAATGCTCACTGGGAACTGTCTAGGGGGTTGATAGTCTCTCTGCTGGAGCTAAAGTAATGTCAGATTTTTCTAAATAATGGAATTAAGTTCCTTTGGTTTATCCTGTTATTAGTAAAATTAGAAGGAAGAATGGGCTCAACACTATTGAAGTTAGATTATCCTCGTGTCTGTATTCGTCACAGAAAATGAAAAATTTTGGAGTTTACTGTCAAGAAAGGTTTTAATCCAAAGGACTAGGCTGATTATAAATTGATCTTTTACTGCTCTTCCATTTCTTTAAAACCTTGTCCCCCCTCATTGTCTGTTCAAGCCGTGATCACTGATTGTGTTTCTCCATATAATATTTTACCCAATGTTCAGCATTCGCATCGTCATCCTGAATCAGATGCACATGTATATTTATTTTTGGGTTTTCCACTCTATTATTTTAAATTTATTTTGGATACTGAGTTTTATCTACCGCAGAATATCAGTAACAATTCCCATACTGCTTCACTAACTGTGGAGGCTGGAATACTGTGGGTTTTTCATCACTATATATATTTTGATTTATTTTAATGTAGGATAAGGTAGTCATGATGAGGTTTTATGGTTGGCAAATATTATTATTGATGCCTGAAAGTACATATTATCTTTTCAGTTGTGATGTTTTAATTGGTAAATGGCTTTGTTTGCATCTTTAATTTGATGGATTCTCCTTCGTTATGCTTTTTGCCAACCTATTTTCCTTTAGTTATTGCCTCCAAAGCAAAGTTGACAGGATGTGAAATTCTTTGTTTCTAAATTTCTTCTTTCTATTTTCTCATGTCCTTGTACTGCAATCACTATGTCATATTGGATCTTGTATTTGTTAGAAGCATGTTTTACGGTTCTTGGATTGAAATCAACTTTCTATGTGGCAAGCTTATGTTTATTCTTAGAATATTAGTGCGGCTTTGTTGCCTTTTTTTCATCAGTCAAAGTTTATTGGAAAGGAATATAAATGGTACTCCCACCTATGTTTGTCACCCGGATAGGTATCACCCGGATAAATAAAATATGTTTGTCATTTGGTTTAAATATTCCCCCCAAAAGATAAAGAAACACCTGAAACTTTTGACTTGATCCAACTCCAGCTTCTAACTTCTGTTTTGTTCCACCACTTTTGTTCCAATCAATCGTGTAGTTCTAGAAGATAATTTAATTCTTTTGTAGTTAAATAGACCAAATGCAGGAGAACCATAGTAAGTGCCAACATTGTTGATTATGCTATATTTTTTAATGTATCCAGATCATCCTAAACATTGTGATTACTAGATGATCCATGAAAATAAAAAAGTTTACTCAATTCGGCTTCTAAATGGGCTTGAACAGTGATATTCTGCACTCTGATTTGTGTTTTTATAGTTGATGGATGTTTAGGCTGCTCATGATGTCTTTCTGTGTCATGTTATTAAAGTCTGTATTTTAACTGAAGTTATTTTCTGGCTAAAGGGTTTAGTTATGTGCCGAAGAAATGTCCAGGCTTTATATATAAAGGCATTTCTTCAGATGAATAATTTAGATGTGAAGGAAATTAATGGGTTGACATGAAAAGGAATGAAAAACCTTAGTTATTACTCGTGCCGTCCGTCTTATTTTATGATATTTTGTGAATCACATAACTGATGAATCATGCGTGTAACATATGATATTGGTTAGGTTTGTTTTGCACCTCCGTTGCAGTGTTCATTAATGATATTATAGTGAGGAAAAAATTATTATTTTGCCCGGTAATGGTCAGGTGTGTCTATGGCGTGCTGCAAAGTGGTGTGGTGTAGAACGGTGAGTGCATCGGATGTTAGGAAATTGGAGTATTGAAATCCTAGTCACACTTCTTTCTGCAGCACTATTTTTCAACACATGTATTATTAAATGAATTTTACGTAGGACGTGTTGAATAGAAAATTAGACTTGCATGATTTAATGAATCTAAAATTTTCACCAACTAAAAGTTGTCTTGATGGCATTGTTCAGTTTGGAAATTTTGTGAAATAAAAGGAATTTTATTTCACTTTTGCTAATTATTATCTAATGTTTTGACATTTTTTTGTAGCGTATCCCTTTTTTTTTTTTTTGTGTCTGTGTTTGATGTCTCCTACGTAACGCAATATTGCTGTTTTATGATCTAATTTGCTTAGTACATTAACATTTATTTATATCGGGGGACTAAAGTTGAAGATTTGATTAAACCCTAGGTTCGCTTTTTGGTGGGTGGCTAAATTACAGTTATGCAGAATGATGAGGAAAAGTATGATGATACTGGATAGGTGGTAATGATTACACGAAGGGTCAAATGCTCATTGAAAATAGAAAAAAATATGTAGCTTCTATTATATATTTACATATACGCATGAGATACAGTTTTGTGCAGGTTTTGAGGTAAAGTATCTCGTATGTCCAAAATAATTTGGACTTATCAGAAATACGTAATTGCTTATTTCCAAATCTTTGGAATTTGGTAAGTACATAAGCATGGAGAATGTGAGGGAAAGGGTTGTGGCGCGAATAGATATTATAAATAGCTTGAGGCTGGTGATTCTGATGAAATATTAATTAGGTCCTTTTAGAAAAATCCCGTATGCAGCGGGTGATCTAAGAGTTATAACTTTCACATGCACTCCCGCAGATATCGCTGGGATTTTGATACAGCCTTTTTTTCTTTGAGAGAAAGTTTTATTGAACGTCAATGCAATGTATGTATACACCTTCCCCACTGCCTTCGCCCCTGCCTGCTTGTCTTAGTGCTTGTCATTGCCATTTTCCGATATTTTGTTCTCTTGTGCCCCATTGTGGGCCGCTGTCATTGACCCTCAGGTCATTGCATGATGCGTAACACTTGTCGATCCCCAAATGTCTCACCTTTATTTTAAAGGGGTCCCTCGTAGCTCTTTGAAAAGAAAGCAATCTTATATAGGTTAAGGCCATACTATCGACCCCGAAACTGTAGATTAAATTAATAGATATAGTTATTTCTGTTTTTTCAATCGTTTTTCTTTACAGTTTTGAATATATTGCGCCCTTTAATACCCAAAGGATGTCATTATCGACAATGACTTGTTCAGTTTGAGTGTGATCTATCTCAAAAAAGCTATAATTTATCTCGTTTATGCAAGGTTTTATGGGGGGCGATTTTTTGGTACTGAGGCCACTAGCATTTTAAGGTGTTTATTGTGTACACTACTTTAGTGTGTGGTGGATAGAGAGGAAAGATCTAAGCGGTTATGAAATGGGTAATTAAGAATGACTAGGGCTGTGAGATGGGGTTTTGATGGTGCCGTACCGTGTGCCTAGTTGGAAACTTTGAGTCTCTCTCTGGTTTGGGTCATAGTGACAATGGATGGAACCGGGCACTGACACTGATGTTTTCTTTTTCTTTACTTTCTTTCCAACCTAGGTCTGCTCTGACCTGGTCTGGTGTGTACAGTGTACCGTCATGCGATGGTCAAATCCTTGTCGGATTGAGTGGGTGTCAGAAGCAATTTGTGGGTGCTCGTGGGCTACTAGCCCTCTGTACTTGAACATTATTCGCCTTTGAGATAAGCTGGTCAGAAATGATGAGTGACAAAAGTTTCTCGCAAGATTAATTTATGTTACTTCCAGTGAAGTAACACTAATCATGAAAATCGGAAAATAATGAATCCAATAGGTTAAGTTTAATAAGGCTTTAACTAGTTTTTTTTAAGGTTTTATATGGATTGAATTTAACTTTTAAAAAACGGTCTAGCATGATCAATGTCTGATTAAAGAACTGAGTTTATTTTTAACTAAATAGGTTTACAAACTGACTTTTAAGTAGGTTAATAAATGTAAATTTATGCGTAAATCATTGTTAGACTTAATTAATAGATACACAAATATATAAATTGAAAATATGTTGATAATAATTTATTATTATAATAATGTTATTTTTACCTTTTTAATTACGTCAATTTGTTAAGGTTAAAATAATTTTGTTGGGTCCCTGAAGATCCCGAAGTTCGCTGGATTTTATCTAATTTGAGTTTAATCCGCTGCTTACTGTCTCGAATGTTTAACTTTACTCTCAACAATAATAATTTACTATTTCTTTATATTAGTAAAAATGATTTTCTAATTATAATCCAAACATAGTTTTAGCTTTCGGTTGATTAATATTCTCTAATTCAGAGAAATCGATTTCTTAAGGTTTTCTAAATGACATTAGATACTAACTTAAAGTTTGACTTAGGCTTCGAGTAAGTTCACAGGTTTCCTACGAGGCATCTATTGTTATCCTTACAATATTGATATTATTATAAAATAAAGCCTTGCATTTTTTTTTGTTATATTTGATTTTTAAACTTGTCTGTTATGTTACTTCTTATTATATTTATACTTGACGATTATAGTATTTAATTTTTATACTTTCTATTTTACTATTTGATTTTTTATAATTTATTTGTATTTTACTGCAAAAAATTTACTTTGGCAGTACTGTAAGACTTATATTTAAAGTAGAATGACTTATATTCTTTCTTTGTTATAAGTAGGGTAGAAAGAAATAGGAGATAGTAGAAAAGAAATAGGAGATAGGTATATTTTTGGAGTGTTTGTTTTCAAGGAAGTAATCAAAATGAATGTTGAGTTTTCTCTGTGGTCTTGGGGTTGGATAAAAAGTTGGGAAGAAAGAAAGGTAATTAATTTTCTTCAAATAACATATTTACTATTATTTGAAGAGTAACTCAATATATCTTTCTGTAACCAAACATAATAAAACAACTTGTTTTCTTCTAACTTGTTTTGAAACAACCAGAGTGTTGATAATTTTGCTTTCGCTATGGTTATTGTTTAACTAGATGATGGGTGTGTGTCTTCGGACGAAGATTTGAGTACCGGAGATGGTGATGGTCTAGATGGGCAAGCAAAGGGTGAAGATCGCGAGCTCAAGGATAGACTTTTACGTAAGTTTGGGAGTCACATTGGTAGTTTGAAACTGGAGTTTTCGAAGAAAAAAAAGAAGGGTAAGCTTCCGAAAGAAGCAAGACAAACATTACTTCAGTGGTGGAATGTTCACTACAAATGGCCTTACCCTACGGTAATTAATTGTTCTTGCTTGTGTTTTTATTTTCCTCTGCAAACTGGTGATGAATCCCAACACTCATATGTTAACATTTTACTTGATCATCGTGTATAGGAAGCTGATAAGATTGAACTGGCTAAGTCAACAGGGCTAGACCAGAAGCAAATTAATAATTGGTTTATTAACCAAAGAAAACGTCATTGGAAACCATCAGAGAATATGCAGTTTTCCATGATGGAAAATCTCAACGGACGGTTCCTTGCCGAAGAATGATGACGTGCGTGTACATGTATTATTCTCAAATGTATATCCCGATTAATATTGCTTGTATTTTCTTTTGTAAATTCTAAATTAAAACCAGATTGCTGACAGTAAAATGCTTACTTTCCCATGAAAAGAAAGGGAATGATCATATAGTATTTTTCATAAATAACTGCTGACATTGTGAATGAATGCTTATACTTTGCTTCAATCCTACTCCGTCATTAGCTCGTTGCCTTAGATTTATTTGTCATATTGCGTTTATCCATCTATCAAAGATATTTTTTAGGTAATCGGGTATTTGTTGGTATATATACTAATGTTGGTGTCATTTAAGTATTAATACTATTTTTTGTAGAAAAACAAAAAATAAATGTGCACATAAAAGTATTAATACTTTTAAATATCTAAAAAGTTTGCAGCAAGTCAATTATAGAGTATGAAGTGATTCTCTAGACATACTGATTCTATTTAATCATCCCTCATACGAACTTGGACAAGAAATCATGGAAGTTAATAAAAGTTTAGGCTAATGATATTGCTTTGTTCATTTGACTAATGTGTCAAGAAAATTTAAATGTTAAAATTTTATGAAGCTAATGAATATTGATTTACTCTCATTATTTTTTAAAGAAATTGATGAAATTTCTTATTTATAAGTAGTCAAGATCATTGTGATGACTTTTATCATACCCGCTGAAAGTGCGGTTGTTGTAGTTTTGTAGTAGTTTTTGTTAGGTATTGAGATGCAAATGACATATATTTATTAATTGAATATAAGCTATAAGTTAATTATATTAAAAAATATGATATCGTTTTTAATCCATAGTTTAAAATTTTAACGTAATAAGTTGATAGTTTTATTTATTTATATGTTTAATTAAATTTCTAATATATTTTATTAATTTATGTTTTAATTTTAACAACATTTTTAATGCTTTTTTATGTCGATACTTTTTTCTTGCAGTGAAAAATTAGTTTGAAAAGTTGACTATATTTTGATAATGAGTGAAAATAATCAATAGTTGGAGTTAAAAGTGGTATTAGTTAGTAATAGTTTTGAAAATTATAGATTAGTAAGTAAAAGTTTTGAATATTTAAAGCTGGTATTATAATTACTAATTTTTGCTAATTAAAAGAAAATAGTGAGTTTTAATTTTGTAAAAAGTTGATGAAAATATGTCATCGGCAATTCTATTAATAGATATGTCATTGGTAGTCTCAACAGAATGGATTATAAAAAGGTGATTCTAAAAAGGTGACAATATATTGATAACCTGTTTTAAACAAGTATCGATTAGAGAATCCGATAGAATAATATTATTATATTATTAAATTGGGTTATTTAGCGAGTCTTTTCTTTCAAGAAAAGTTGTCTAGATATCACTTTTCTTATACAAACAGGCATAAAGCACAGTTGGTAAGGGATGTTCAACAAATTACATTTTAGATGATTTTAAATTTGAATTCGAGTTTAACGTGGAAATTAGACTGTAACAGAACAATTTGTGCCAATCAATGTGAGCGCAAATACGTAAATATTAATAGTAAATGGATTTATTTCTTAAAACAATATTGATTGACTTTATAATAATCAATTAAACCATTTACGAAACACAAGAATATTTTTAATTAGTTTAGAAAATTTTCATCCACAGTTTTTTTTTAGACTTAGATATTCATTAGTAGTTTTTGTTTGATAGCTTAGTTGATTGAGTGTCATTTTGAATGCTTTATATAAGTAAATAAATGGTTCTAATTTGAAATATTTCATTGACACTGTTGAAAATATAGTCCTCGTTGCCTCTTTGTTTGCATTCTTTAACAAACTATCTTATTTTACTGTTTTTGTTGAAAATTTGATCGATTTCGATTTCTTAGTTTCTAATCAAATTTCAACCAAGTAGATTCTTTTCACTTAAGCTAGCGACAATTTTCAATCAAAATGTGTATGAGAATCGAAAATGTCACAAGATCGAGGAATGTTATTGATGCAACTGATCATACAAATTAAAAATCGAAAGTACTCTTTTTGGTATTTTATTAAGAAACGCGAAGTAAGGAAAGCAGTAAAAATGTATCGAAAAGAAACAAAAACAGTGCGAAATATTAGAATACAGGGAATTGTAAATGCAAAAAACTTGAAATTGCATTAACTGTAAATAACAGAATTAAAATTGCATGAAAGTAAATGACAGGACGTCGAAATTGCAGAAACGGTAAATGACAAACATTTGAAAATACAGAATCTTAAATTGCATTAATCATAACTAGCAAGTAATTGAAAGTATGGAAACTTAAATTGATGAACATAAATTGCCTGAAAATAAGTTACTAGTAAAAAAAGCGGTAAAAACAGTCAATGAGAATGGAAATCCAGATCGCCAAAAACTTCATGATTCGTCGTTTTCCGGTAGACTTTTCACTTGTGTTTCTGTTGTCTCTGTCAATTTCCCCTTCTTCTTCCAGTTTCGTTCTATTTATAGGCATCCTTCAATGTAACCTCCCAAGAGCAGTTAAAGAAAATTGTCACCACGTTCCATGTGCACGTTCCTCGATTTTTACCTTAGCCTACGGTTTAGAAAACCGTTTCTACGTTCCATGTGTGCTTTAACCGTTCCTCGATTTCTAACTTTTAGCCATGATTTGGAAAACCACTCCCCATGTTCCATGTGCATGATAATCATTTCCCTCGATCTCGATTCCAGTTATCAAGTATAATTTCCCTTAACCCTAACTTTACACTCCATACTTTATTATCGATTTCTTACTTTCATCGAATTTCCTCTATCTTTTGATTCTCGATCTCCATTCTCGATTTATGTGTTTATACTGTCTCGTGGTCATCGAATGTCTTCCAACCATCTTTCCGATTTATCAACTTTTTAACCAATAATATGATCTTCAATTTTCTCTTTTCCGTTTTTCGATTCTTGTATCGATTTTTTACTAACCCTTACTAAATTAAAATTAATATATATCAAATTTGAATTTAGATATATTTAGTAAAATATATGTATTATTATTATTTTAAATTTTATTTGACTTTGTTTATTTTATCTATAAAAATGTATAATTTATATTAATATATAAATCAATATAATGGATTAATCTACAATAATATATAATTGGATATCTCCCATAATATTAAATGTAATAACAGATGATATATAAAATATTTTGCATGAATTACTTTTTGGTAAACATGTTTTTTCCCTCTCATTACTATATTTGACTGTGAGTTTATGGTTTTAAAATATTATTAAAAATAAAATAAAAAATGATTTGTATTAAATTGGTTATCCATTTTATAAAATTGTTACAGATAGTATACTTTTAATAATGATTTGTATCAAAATTACTAGTTGGATAAGTAAATTTACGGGAAATTGGCATGTGATATGGTGTTCTTGTTACCGAATATGGTTTAATTACATTGTCCTGTATAAGGCATAGCTGCATGATATTTGATCCTCTAACAACTTCGATGTCTTTATTTTTGTTTTGTTTTGTGTTTCTATTAGTAAGATTTTAATGTTTTTTTTTTCTTTACCTCAAGTGTTGAAATTTAAACACTTGAAGAAGCTTGAGATACAACCTGGATATCTGATAACATAGGAGGTGTGTCGAAATTTCTTTTTAAGATAATATAATCATAGCTATGATATATTTTCTTTAGTTAAACTTATAATTTATCTTAAGTTATTAATTTTGTCCCTAAATATTTAAGATGTTACTGATTTGGTCCTCAAATTGTTACTTCGTTACACATGATTTAAAAATGAACCAATAAAAAATACTTTTCATGCTAAGAATAAAAAACTGAAAAATTAAATTAAATATTCACTATAACAATTAAAAAATAATTTTTCTAAGTAGTTAAAATCCAGTGCCATTGTGTCCCTCAAATTTAAAATAAAAATTCACTTAATTAACCGTGAATAACTATTCTTAAAAAACCTAAAGGCAAATTTTGGGCCAAAAGAAACCCAATGTAGCAATCCATAGGGCCATGGGTCGGCCCACAAAATGTGTTATGTCGTTGTGTTAACGGGTTCGGTAACCCAACTCGTCACAAGCGTGTGAATAGATGAAATAAAAGAAAGTTAATCTGAATTGGAGAGTGAGTGATAATTGGGTAAACTACATGGCCACTTTTGTTCCTTCTTCTTCTTCCATTTTCCGACCAAAGTTGGTTCGGTGCACCAACGAGCGCCGGGCGCTGTTTAGCCGCATTGCTCCTGTCTATGATAACGTGAGCCACTCCTCTTTTCTTTTTTCTTTTGTTCGCTCTTTGATAACTTAGGCAGTTTCTGTGTGTTTTTTGGACAGCTGAATGACTTGCTGAGCCTCGGGCAACACCGTATTTGGAAGCGGATGGCGGTGTCGTGGACTGGGTATCCCTCTTTCTTCGCTCTTCGCGACCGCATTTTCTTCAAAATATTGTAACCGTTCTATTTTCATTTCTTAATTGGGTGTTTGTGTGAATTTGGGCACAGAGCGAAATCGGGAGACCGTGTGTTGGATGTGTGCTGCGGAAGTGGGGATTTGTCCTTTCTCTTGTCCGACAAAGTAGGCTGTGATGGCAAGGTGTTTGATTTGAGTTTCCAATATTTCAATTGCTTTCCCATGAATAAAGTATATTTGGGTGGGTTTCTCCCAATAACTTCTCAAAGTATTAAAGATAAAAATAGGAAGAAAACCATAAAATTAACTATGTGTAAGTTAAAGATTAAAACTTCGAGAAACTATAAAAAAAAATGTATAAACTAATTTTAAATTATGAGAAAATTATTTTTATTTTTATATTTTTTATTTCTTAAAGTTATTATTCAAAAACTAGTGCATACATACATACATACATACCCAAAATGAACAAATTTGGTCTCTCAACTTTCCATTGTGTATCAATTTGTTTTTCACCGTGCAATTTTAGTTTGTTAGACAGGTCAGTCAACTTAGTTTTAACAAATTCCAATTTTTTCATGGATAAAGAAATTAAAAGTGCATATTTCCAATATGGAAAAGACTATAAAGTGTAATTAAGCTTTAAATTTATTATGAATGTACATTAAATGAGGGAAGAGGCAGTGTACAGTTTCATTTAATTGTTTACTTTCATCTAATTATATAATTTATTATATTATATATATATATATATATATATATATATATATATATTATCGTGTATGATAAATTTATTGACTTTTATAATATCTATATTAAAAATTGTCCATATCTAGCATGATTTCTCATTACCAACAGGACATTGGGCATAAATTAACGTCATGTAATATTATTATTATGCCTAAAGATTTTTTTAATTAATCCAAAATTATTCTAAGCCTTACTTTGTAAGATTCAAGGTTATTATTATATGAACTTACTATACATGATTGAATTACACTTTAAAAAACATAAACGTTTACGTAGAAGTGTATTTTATTTAATTATTCCTTTTATAGTTATATAGCATTTGAATTCCTTATTCTTATAGAATTTGAGTTTTGTAGTGAAATTATAGTACAACGAATGTTTTGTGGTACAGGTGATTGGTCTTGATTTCTCGAAGGATCAACTATCGGTAGCTTCATCCCGGCAGCAGTTGCTTTCAAAGAAGTCCTTCACGAATATTGAGTGAGCATGGGTAAATTTTGCTGTATGCAGACATTAATTATAACCTTATATATATATATATATATATATATATATATATATATATATATATATATATATATATATATATATATATATATATATGTATATATTACCTTTTTGTCTACATTTGATCTTTCAAAAAAATTTGTGGTCTAGTATAAAGCTATTAGCAGTTTGTATAGTAGAGTTCCTTTTATGATTGTGTTGTATCTTAGTATCATTGATGATGTGGGAAGGTAGTAATGGTTTGTTGCAATGTAGGTGGGTTGAAGGTGATGCTCTTGACTTGCCATTTTTGGATGGTTGGTTTGATGCTATCACTATGGGCTATGGTCTTCGAAATGTGGTTGATAAGTATAAGGCCATGCAAGAAATTTTCCGTGTCCTAAAAGCTGGTTGGTTTTGTATCTCAATCCATTAACGTGATAATTGATGTTTATATGAATTTTGACACATTCCATGGTTTATTTTGCTTCCCAGGCTCTACAGTGTCTATCCTGGACTTTAATAAAAGCAACGAGTCACTAACTTCTGCAATTACGGTATATCTCAGCCTTAATAGTTGCTTTATATGAATCCTAATAATAATTGGCGGCAATGCTCCTTCATTTTGAACAAGTATAGTCACCCTTCTGATCTTCTCAGTAAATTAGAAGGTTTGGCTTATGGTTAAAAATCTATTTATTCTTTTCAGCAATGCTTTTGAGTGAGTTCATCAGTTTGACAGAACTGATGAAAATCATGTTTGGGTCTGCTAAGTTTAGAGAGAAATTTACAGTCCACTTGTGTAAACGAATACTATCATATCTTATTATTTCTACAGCTTTTCATTTATTTGCTGTTGTCATTTTGATTTTGTGGATGTACTGAAGGTAACCCCCAAGAACTTACTTATGCTAGGAATGGATGATTGACAATGTTGTTGTCCCTGTTGCCTCTGATTATGGTCTTTCAGAGGAGTACAGATACCTCAAAAGTTCAATAAGAGAATTTTTAACAGGTTGGTTTGCAAGTGAATTTTTTTATAAGATCAGACTTTTAATTGAACACACTTAATTATATTTTTATGAAGTTATTCTATAGGATTTTGACAATGTGTTCTCTCTCCAGTGTGGAGGGAGGGATAGGTTGTGGGTTCAACTCTTCTTACTAACAAAAAATAACATTAACATAGGCAGCCTAGGGATGCAAAGCTGCCAAAATACTGCCCTCTATTCTCATGAAGCTACGATATCCTCCTTAAATTTCTCACTCTTACTCTCATAACTGGGGACAAGTTTGGAGACTCAAATCGAGCTATATCTATGGGAGGCTTGTTTAAACAGTTTCAATTTTATTGATCCTCACATTGACGTGGTTACTTAGGGTTATGGATGTTTCTTTAGTAAAATGTCCTAAGCACCAGCATGACGACGTTTCTTTTGGTCTTGTACACAATATGACCACATCTGACTAAGAACAATATAACTACATTAGTATTTATTTTATATTATATTATATTATATGCGGGTATGGAGTTGGTGCTTTACTCATCAATTTTTGCACCTATATCCATTTAGTATGTAAATCCTCTATATAACTTGGGTATTTTCTTCGGGTGTTGGTTAGGTTTGGATACGATTGTTAACTCTAGTTGATAATCACGCAGTTCATAATTTTGTATATAAATGAAAATGATTACCAAATAAATGGAAAAAATATATTATGTCCATTGATGGTAGAACTTTGTTAAGATTGATTGCCTAATTTAAGAATCCTCCTGTGATGCAGGGAAGGAATTGGAGAAACTTGCCATGGAAGTAGGGTTTTCTGCTGCCCGACATTATGAGATTGGAGGAGGCCTCATGGGGTGTTTGGTAGCGAAGCGTTAGAGGGGATTAAAATATTTACCTTTTTCTATAAATAGATTTACACCCCCCTCCCCTCTTGAAAACAAAATTTCTGCTGTTAATCCATGTGCATTACTATTGAATTAACAGTAGCTTAGCCATCGGCTAGCATTTTATTATTTTTATTTGCAGAGTTAAATGTTCCAAGGAAGAGCTTCAGTCACATTTTCATATTTCTTCATATGATCTTTTCACAAATGTTGGCTTCTTTCATGATGGTACATTATAAACTTCTATGTTTCAGTAAATTATCAAAATAGTAAAAGCTTACAATCTTTGCTTTATTCTTTTTCTCATTGAAGACTATTCTTTTCGCAAATGAAATAAATAACAATTGTATCCAAAACTAGTAGTATTTATGAGCTGTAACATGAATTAGATTGATCTACAATTGTATAATAATGTTAATATGGAACTATACAGTATACGTTGTTTGCTTCCCATAACCGTATTGGACATTTGGCTTAAAAACTCCCCTTGTCTGAAGTATGCATTTTAAATAGCAAAACATTGGATGCTTTGTTAGCAACCTTAAGAGTCATAGGTCTGAGGCAGAACAATTCATTTGCCAATCACAAGCTGTGCTGCATACATGCCGTGTATAGGGATTTCTCTGCATTCTCGTGGTCACCTGGGATAACATGAGCTATGGGACATAGTAGCAATTGAATCAGATGCATTAAGAGGATAAAATGGGTCACTACTTGTGTCATGGAGTTCCATGGCACTCTCATCTAGGAAGGGTGGATTAGAGGGAGCAATAAGACTCTCTCCTTTGTGATCTGTTGTGATCTGAAATGTCTTTGACATGATTGGTAGTAAAGAAGGGGCCTCTTAGGTGTATAGAAGTCCTATGTGAACCACTCTCAAAATCTCATCCTTAACATCGCCGTTGTGGTCTTCCTGTAACTCCAGATTTGGATCAAATAATTGTTCAGCAGTCCCTGCCTGAAAATGTTTCCATATCTGATCTCGCTAGAATATATAGGATAGGAAAAACAAAAATGTTTCATCAGTAATTTATTTTCTTAATTACAATCAATGTACAGTAGAGCCACAATCAGAAGAAAACAACCAAGGAGTCTGTTCCTTACCACTGTAACTGAAGCTGTCTGAATACTTTGATGCTTTGCTCCTGTTGTTGTTTCTACCAGTGACCATATCTAGCAACAATGACAGCAAAGCAAAACAAAATTTGGGTTTAGTACACGGTTTCACGCGTTTCAAGTGACGTTTCTCTTTTGTTACTTTAAATGCCTTTTTTATTAGATAGTTGGTTCGATACGTAAAACAATAAAAATATATTAAAAGTTAATTTTCAACTAGAATACCCAAAAATTATGTTTAAAATTCTAGTTTAATCATAGTTTCTAAAGAAACAAAAAACATGCCAGAGACAAAACGGGAAAGCAAATCCCCGTTGACCCAATTAGGCCATCTAACAAATATAATATGATGACTACATTAGATTCTTATATCACCCATTTTGATATTTGATTATAAACTATTTTCCTTGGATTCTTAATTGATGTAAGATATTTTGAAATCCAAATAATAAAACCAGCAATAATAATAATCTATTAGAAACCAATGATTGAAATATAATCAACTGCATTATTTTTATTCATGAGACACTCTTGATCACTTTATCAAACTACAGTGGATTATGCATCAAAGCAATTTTAAAAGTATTATCTAACCTTTTTCTTTTTCTTAATCTACAGAATCGTACAAAAATTGAAATGCTTCAATAATAATGGTATATGACATGAATCACCTCGTTAACTGATTTATGTAATATATACATACGTTTTGAGCCAAAGCTATGGAAAACATGAATCACCTTCCCATTTAATATGTACAAGGAATGCTCGTAACCAAAAAACTGTTATATCTTTTTTTGAAAATTTATTTTGTAACCCATTTATGCTGAATCAGGCCTTCGGTCATGCTTTCCTCTGAAGATTGAGGGTAGGATCTAGGCTGAAAACTGTCTTCCGGTAAAATAGATTTGCTGAATTCTGCACTACTGCAATTAAGAAAGGGGGGTTGTGTTGGCTGAGTAATTTCATGATTGTTTTTAATCATTTTCACAACTACTGACATTGGTGGTCTAAGTTCTGCAGATGCTTGTGCACAGAGCAACCCTATCTTAAGGAGTTTGCATGCTTCCTCCGCCGGATAATTTCCCTCTAGGATTGGATCAACAATGTCACATAGTTTGTTTGATCCATAAAGGCTCCAAACCTTGTACAAAGGGAAAAAGAGAAGTCTCAGAAATGAGAACACTTGTTGATAAAAATAAAAACATGACATGAATTATAGAACTATGCAATAACAGCAAAAACCTTATTTCACTAAGTGTGGTCTACTACATGAATTAATATGAAATCAGGAGAAGTATGACAAATGATAATAATAAGTGTTACCGTGTGTAGGATAGAATATGAATTTTTAATGAAGGATTTGCTCTTTTTGCCAGATATAATTTCCATCAGTATAACTCCAAAACTGTAGACATCTGCTTCTCAGTTAGCTTCCCTTAAACTACAGGAGTAGGGATGACAAAATGGACAATAGACCCCAGTCCTATACAAAACGAGTTGCCGAAACAATCCACCAATAATTTATATAAATTTTTTTTCTATATGTAGTTTTTTTTTTAAATATTTTTAATTATATGAATAATTTTTAAGTTTTTATTTATTAATTAATATTTTTATTAAATAAATTAAAAAAATATTATATTTATATCAAAATAACTAATTATAATCAATCATTTAAATTTAATTAATTAATTTTTATAATTTAAATTATTATTATTATAATATATTTTAATAATATAACACAAAAAATTAGTTATAATAATTTTTTATTTATTTTAATATAAATATTTCAACCCTATTCTGGAGTCACATAACCCCTCAATATAGAGGAAATTGTAAGAGAATAGTGTATGGATTATGTGATGCAAATATAGAAGCCAGAATTTGACAAATGGGTTAACTTTTGAGCTTCTTTCAAGATCCCAAAGTGCTTATCAATAATAGAAGGGCATCACTGGGTAACTTTCATAACTCAATTTGCCTTTGGTTATTTACTATTTTTATAAATCATTAGACGCAAGATTTAAGAGTACTACATCAACTCTGCATTTTTATGAGGATTCCTTTGTTTATAAAACAAGCTAATTTCTTCCTCTGTGCTTAATATTCTTAATTGAATTTATGTCATGTTTCCATGCATTATGTTAGAGAGGGTAATGAACTTACAGTGTGCCGCAAATGACTGTGCCGAGGTGAGATTTGTCATCTGGAAATAATCTGGCAAGTCAAAAATCAGCAATCTTAGGTGTGAAGTTATCATCAATGAGAATGTTGCCTAATCTTATATCTCTATGAATGACTCTCTGTATTCCTCACGAAGATAGGCCAAGCCCTCTGCGGTTCCCAATGTGATTCTGTGCCTAACTTCTCATGTCAACTTCTGAGAATTCCTTCTACCTGGACCAGGTTAAAGCAAACATTAGTGATTACCTTAAATTAAAAGAAAATGTGCTAAGACCAGATAAAAATTGTCAACCAGATAGGTGATCATAGAGGCTACGATTAGGCCCAAATTCATAAACAAGAAGGCTTTC